GCACTTGGTTAAAAAAAAAAATTAAAAAAGTGATATTCTTTTAAAAAACCATAACAATATAAAATTAATAATTCCATAATATCATCTAATACTCAGTCCATATTTAAATTTCCTCAGTTGTCTTCCAAATTATTTTTATAGCTGGTTATTTCAAACTGGGATCCAATTAAAGTTTACACATTGCATTTGGTTGTATCGCTTTACTCAGATATAACATTATTATTATTTTGATAAAATGTGGAACAAATCAGTTCTTCCAATTGGTCACATTTGTTTTGGGTTTTAATTACTTTCCTGAAAATTAGCATTATGGAAACTGTATAAAAATGTTTAATTTTACTAAGATTTACATTTATATTTTCTTTTTCTTACTCCTAGTAATAGTATCACATAATAAGTGTAAATGAAATTTAAAGTCACCTCAGATAAAACTGGTATCATGTATATACTAATAATATTGTACTACTCATATTTGCCTTATATTCAGGACACTGATTTTTTGTATTAGTCATTTTTCCCATTTCAACAGTGTGTTGTTTTTTTTTTCCTATTTTAAGAATCATTGTACGTATTTTAGGATTGTTTTTGGCAAATACAGTGAGCATCTATGTAACCAGATGGTAATGCACTCAAATGTCCAATGGCTTGTATGAATGATTACTCTAGTCGTAGATTTGACTCCAGCACGTGTAGAATCATGCACTGAATTCAAATGAAAAATCTTGTTTCTTTTTGTCCAGGGCTTGTGCTATTCAACTTTGAATTTGGAAACTGTACAAAGTAATAGAAGTTACGTTTAAGTATGTGTTCAAAACCTGTATTTATATAATAACTTGTGTGTGCCCCTTTGTTTTGGGATATTGCTTTCACTTAATTCTCTAAATGCAGCGTTATATTCCTGATGTTAAGAACAGAAGACTGCTTTTTTAAAGTTACAGATTTGTGAATAGAACTAAGTAATGTCTCTATAAGCTGTTGTGGGGAGGGGAGAAGAAAAGGAGGAACCGACTGAATAGGACCCTCTAAAAGTTGTTAATTTTGTAAACTTTGCTTCTTTTGTAAGTTATTGTGATTCCTTTAGTTACTGGGTTTTATTTTGAAAATATTTAAATATTGCACTTGTACAAATAGTATGATAAATGCACAGATTTTAAGCTAGAATATTTGAAATGATAACTTTTGGTTAAATGTGTCAAGGTTGCGACAGGAGTTTCACAAATTTATTGTGATTAGCAAATTCTTACCCATACTGAAGATGTAAAGGGAGTCAATGCAAATGATTTTTAATCTTTTTTTATTATCTTTTCAGCAATTTATATTTTTTGTGATTTTATGCAACCACATTTTTACTTTGTCTTGACAACTGAAAGATGTATAAGGTTTTTGCCAGAAATGTACTGTATACATAGTTTTAAATATAACAGATTTTACTGATATGTAAAAATTTTGCCATTAAAATAATTGATTTCTCACTGAGAGGAATTTTTCTACCAGGTTGGGGCACATGGGAGCTTAATATATCATACCTAATTTAAAATAATTTCACTGAAATAAACTCTTTGGCTTTTACTTTATTTTTTTTCTTGATATGCTTTTTATAGTTTTTCAGAGTTTTAGATGATTTTATACAAACTCTTTTCCTCCCTGCCCGACAGGACCTTTTTGATCTTGTAGTGATACTGTTCACCCTGAATTAATGCTTGCTGTGGCCTGTGGCCAGATGTAGAGCTCCATGCCTCTGTATTCCAGCAGGCGTCTTTGGAATGAATGAAAAATGTTGTTGTCTACATGTTTTTTTCCCTTAATTCCTTTCCCCATTTCTCCAACCACAATAGAAGTCTTATTTTCATTGTTGAGTTCTGACAGATGAATGAATTCCACACACAACGTAACTGTAAATTGGTAGTAGAAATCAGTCTTTGTGGTTCATGTATATTTTGACGAGAATATATTTAAATTTACAATTTCAAGTACTTTGATTTAGAAAGATGGTATAATAAAGAAAAATTTTGTATTTCATCTGTTATAATGTGCTTACTTTTAAAAACTTTAACCTCTGGGAAAACTAAGTGGGCAAAAAAGCTATTCATGTCTGAATGTCTGTGCCTTCTTTTTTTTTTTTTTTGGAGTCTCAAGCTGTCGCCCTGGGTAGAGTGCTTTGGCATCACAGCTCACAGCAACCTTTAGCTCTTAGGCTTAAGCGATTCTCTTGCCTCAGCCTCCCAAGTAGCTGGGCTTCCCGGCGCCCACCACAAGACCCAGCTATCTTTTGGTTGTAGTTGTCATTGTTGTTTGGCAGCCCGGGATGGATTTGAACCCGCAAGGTCCAGTGTATGTGGCTGGTGCCATAGGCCACTTGAGCTACAGGGGCGGAGCCTGTGCTGCCTTCTTTTTAACAATGTACCTAAATACATAGTACTAGACCACATTTTGTAATTGTTATCTCAAATTAGTTTTGATTTCATGTAATCGACCACCTAAATACAGTATTAAGATAAAAGCCAAAGTAGCTATCATTCGTCAGTGGCCTAACATTAGATTTGGTTAGAATCCCTCTACTCTGGAATGTAATTAATAGATCTTGTATCTATATAGTGACCATATCAGGCAGGGCTTATGCTAGATTGTTGGCATTCTAAATCTTTAAAACTACAAAAGCAAACTGCAAAAGAGTATTATGAATAGCATAATAGGAAGCTAATCAAGTGCTCTAGGTATTTACCTTGACTGCTCAAAATAGTACATGAAATTCTTGTTCGAAAAATCAGTATTTTTTGAGCTGTTCTACAGATTGTAAATACAGCATTCTACTTACTGTAAATGCTAATCAATGTTAACTATGATAAATTTTGAGGATTTTTAGCAACTTGAAAGATGACACCATTATAAAAGGCATAGGAAACGAAATATATAATGGGTGGATCAAGATCACGGACCAGACTGAAGTAGAGAAGTCATGGATGAAGTACCAAAACTTAGTGAGCAGTGGCTTTTATCAGAGGAAAGGGATCAAGGTTAAATTACTTGAAAAATTTAGGAAAGAGAAGTGTACAAATGAGTATTCGGCTCAATAGATTTTCAGTGTTTCAGGTATACAGTGAATGTGGACATGTAAACTCTACCTAGATTGAGAAATATCACCACCATGTTAGTGTCTTTTATAATTAACATCGAAGCGATATCACTTTTGCCTTATTCTATAGGTGGCACAGAACAACCCTGGTCAGAGAACTCCACAAGGATGTGAATGGAGGAGTGGGAATTATTGAGGGCCTTCTTGGAGGCTGGCTACCCCAGTTATGCATTGATAATTTTGAAAATACTTGTTCACTTATGCAGCTTGTACAAATGTTGATGCAGCTAATCAAACAATACAAATAAAAATCACATCTGATAATATGAATCATGATATCACTGGAAAAGTCTTAAGTATTGGGAAGCTGCCAAGATTTTATGGTGAATACAATTTTTCCAAAAATCAAAATTTTTGCCTAAACTCTTTAATTTTATCTTCGTCAACAAACACTGCCATTTTTTAAATAAAAGTACCAGGTTCCATTTTGTTCATTTTCATGAAAAGTTCTGTCCGATCCTAAGTCTGAATAGCCGGTTTGTCAGTGGTTCTTGCAAGTAATGTTCCATGAAAAAAGTCTCTAGTTCAGTTTAGAACAAGATCTCAGAAATACTTGTCCCTGAGTCTTGTTCCCATACTTCAGTATGCAGAAGGACTTTATGAAGACTTACCATTTTTTTCACACAGAATATTAAAGACTGTGCTCAAGGGTCGTTTGAATAATTTTTACAGCTTCATTGAGGATGTTCTTGAGAGCATTTCTTTCTCTTAACTAGGAGTGTGTGTGGCAGTGAATACGATGACCGCCAGTACGGTTCGGTATTGTTCCTGTGATTCCTTATTGAAGTGCCAGCAGTTTTACCCACCATTGCTTTCCTACTGTCAGTACAAATGTCAGCACCGTGAAAAGGGCTAAATAACCGCCCTCATATTAGTATGGCAATAGTTTTGGCGTTCAAAGGGTGTCAGCGACTTTTCAGGAGAATCCTTAGTATTTACCAGTAGTTCCCAGCAGGAGTTTTCTTCCAGGGGATATTTCCCTGGGGAAACAATTTGTCGTCACAACTGGCGATAGTGATGGTGGGTGCTAATGGCATCTATACTAGAGAATCTATTAAGCACCCTACTGTGCACAGGACGCCGTCTTCCCTTAAGAACCTGGTTTCCAAAAAATGAGTCTTTTGCACAAGACAGCTACACGACAAACTGACAATATTAATTACCCGTGTTACATCTGCCTGCTTATTTATCTTCATGACGTGACCCACAGACACATTCAGGCCATAATTCTCTCATCTGGGTTCAACTGGTTACTTCCGACGTGAAGCCCACAGTTCAGCCATGACCTTCCCCGACCCGCCCTACAGATCCCTTTTTGATCGAGTTTTGCCTCTCTATTCTCTGCACCTAGCTGGCCTCATCAGCCAGGCTGTATACCCCATTAGAGCGGGACTCTATCTTAAGCCTCGGAATTCCCCTCCAAGTTATTTTCCCAGAGTCTTGCTTTCTTAACCCGCTGCCTGGATGCGCTGTGTAGGGGAGGGACGGCTCCACCTCGCGCGCCCCTTCGCCGCGCAGCCGCCTTACCTGCGCTCGCTCTCTGCGGGCCGCGCTCGCGCTCTGCGGCCCCGCGCGCCGACGCTCCCGGCAGCTGCTAGAGGGCGCGCTCGGCCGAGTGACCTCGACTACAATTCCCAGAAGGTAACGCGGTGGGGGCGGCCGCAGTGACACCTGGGACTTGTAGTCCTGGAGGAGGCGTCGGCGGCTGAGAAAGAAAGTCGACTTTCCTTTGCTTGCTCCAGGGTACTGTTTGGACGCCCCGAGTGTGGGCCGGATCCGTTTCTTGGCAACCAGTCATCAAAGGCAGGCAGGTAGGAAGTCGGGCGTTCTAACTTCCGCTTCCGGTGGGCAGCATTGTAAACACGGGACCCCCTGGAGTGCTTATCAGGTGGCTGGGGCTGCGCTGTGGGTGGTCGGGGCGCAGGAAGTGGAGAAAAACGAGGCGCGTGGGTGTTGCGGTTAGGGAAAAAGGGAGCTTGAGAAAGCCGAGTTCAAACTCCGCCGGGTCTTACGCAGCCAGGACGCCAAGGTTAGTCTCTGCGCACAATCGACTCTGCAGGAAGGGCCCTTTCTTGCTGCGCCGCCTGGGAGGCCGCCGGCTGGTGCGGCTTTGACCTTCCCCCCGCGGTGGGGCGGGCGACACGGAGCTGGCACCGAGCTGGCTTCCTACCCGGCGCTGCAGGCGTCTGAGGCTGAACGCCGAGCGCCGGCTGGTGAATTCGCAGGTGACGTCCCTGGCAGCCTTTGTGAATTTCGCTTTTAGGAACATTTTTATTATTGTTGACCAAGGAAGGGATAGTCACTAATACTGGTTTTTCTGTTGCGGTGATATTTTTGGCTACATTGTTCCGTGCATTCCCCACCATCCGGAAGGATGCGTTGTGATTTCCCTGTCGTGTTCAGCTAGTGGTTTTTCGCCTTGGGTGCTGCATCTCAGACATAGTCAAGACAAGCACGCTCTGGTTTGGGGCTGGTAAAATGCCAACAGTTCTTGAGCACATTCTGTAGTTATCGGTGTACCAGTACACGAATTTAGAATACGATGGCCGTCATTGTTTAGAATTTGTATGGCATTCGTTAAAGACAATTCTGAATACAGTGCTGGATATGTCTAGTTTCATGAGTTTAACATGAAAACCTTAAGATTAAGGTTTGCCATATGGTTTCATATGAGCGAAGAAATGTTGCGTCCAGGATGTTGGTGCTTTGTGCCTGTAACCATACAGTAGTTTCAGGAAAGCCTCCTTTATAAGAAGCTTTAATTTCATATTCAGACAGCCGAAGAGAAACAATTAATTTACTATTTAGGATATCCCGAATCAGCTCAGAGCGTTAAATTTTCCAAAGCAGAAAGTGTTTTGTAAATGTTCCACTTCTTTTTAAGCTTTGTTACTTTTATTTTTCAAAGCTCTCCGTGGAGCCTCAAATGTGCCTTCTCTGACATCATAGCATCCTTTGTTTATTGTCTTGTAGCCCTTGTCCTGTATTGTAATTGACTGAACTCTGTTGTCTTCAGACAATTTTGAAGAAACTGTAGAAATGTGCCAGTGGCCTTGGTAACAGATTCATGCTTTTTTGACCTCAGTAGGCCCTTGATACTATTTGATAGCTCTTCTCCTCTGCCGTTCCTTTTCCTAATCCCCTCAATGCCTGTTACAGATCTTTTCCATTTTCTCAAGTGCTCAGATTGCCCTTTCAGCAGAACCACTGCAACTTGACCACCCAACGGACTGGTCAACATAAGAAGGTGTCTAGCCTAAGGAACTAGGCCTTCTGTACTGATACTGCATGTGGTGTGTGTCCGGTCTATGAAAATTAGGTCAATTTAAGATTACTGTAGGTAGGTAGGTAGCTGGTAGGTAGGTGGTCAAGATTACTGTAGGTAGGTAGGTAGGTGGTCAGCTATGGAAGTGCTACTGTAATTTTGAACAGATGAATAACCTCTTATTTCCCAGACAACTGTGAAGTTTGGGGCACGAAATTCCTCATTTTCTTTTCCTTCTGCCTCTGAACCTGCCTGTCCTTTTCAGTCAGTATTAATTTCTTTTTTGTCGGAGGGAAATGTATTAATGTTTCTGTCCCGCTCTTCAAGGCTAAGCTTCTCAATTGCTAGTGTCATTAGCCTTCTTATAACCTCATTCTGTCTTGACTGCTGCAGCCCCTGAATATCTCAAGGGATTTGTGGGGGAAACTGGCACAAACACCCGAAGACAGTGGTGTGTCACTTTTTCATAGATGGGTGAGAACCACCACCTGGGTGGGCACTTAACATAAACCTGTTCTCAGCATTCTAACAGTGGTTTGTGTTGGAAGGTGGGAAGCTAATGGGAACCAGAGTGACCTATTAATTTTTAAAAAATGTTTTGGTCTGGCTCTCCTTTTTTCCTTTCCTCCCCACTCTGTCTCCTTCCCCTAATAATCTACAGATCTGACCAATGATTTTTAATATAATTTGCTTTCAGAAAACACACCAAGTTTCAGTTAGTATTAATAGGGTTCCCACACTGCCGGGCACCTCACATAAGTAATACAGAAACAAAGTTCTAGTTGGAAATTTAAAGCCAAAAAAACCTAGCCATTATTCTTGTTATGGTTAGGAGTAGTTATAAGACTCTCTTATCTTGTCTAGATAGGTTTTGGGGCCTTCCTGACAATCCATTCTCTCAGTCTGTGCTTCTGAATTTCTGTTCGTAACACACTACCCACACTTCTGTTTTCAGAAATTTTTTGGTTCTTCCCCTAGGATGTTTTGTAGTCATTTTCAAGCATAAGAAACTCAGTCTCCCATGATGAATATGGGGCAAGAGTTTGCATTGTCCTAGTGCTTACTTTATAATCTATTACTTCACCAGCTTCTCTAAGTCTCTTTTCTTGTGGTTCACCTGTGTTAGCCTGTACATTCCCCTCCCTCCTTTCCTTTTCTCCCTTCCTCCACCTTTCCCCTTTGACCCCTGCCTCCCTCCCTTCTTTCCTCCCTTCCCCCCTTCCCTTCCATCCCTTTCTCTCTTCCCATCCCTTCCTTCCTTCCACCCTCCCTTCCTCCCTTCCTTCTCCTTCTTTTTTCTCTTTGGAAACAGGGTGTCACTATATAGCCCAGGCCTGTCTCAAACTCCTGGCCTCAAGCTGTCTTCACACCTTGGCCTGCCAGAGTGCTGAGATTAAAGGCATGAGTCAGTAAACCTGGCCTTAGATTTTTAAATTATTCTTTTTTAAGAGACCCTGTACATTTCTTGCTTGTTGTGATTTATTGATGCATTCTAATATTCATCAAGTAGTTAGGCAAATGACCGACCATTTTCTAACCCCTCCAGATTGTGCTGTTATTGTGGGACTTCGTATGTGGATAACAACCTTACGGCCACCTTCACTTTTTTTTCTTTTTTTTGGTCTTCTTCTTTCTAGAGATCTGTTCTATGGTGCTTTGTTTTATTGTATTTTGCCAATATTGCTTTTTGAAACATTGAAAAAAGGGTTTGTTGTTAACCCTGCCTCTAGAAAGTCTTTTAGTGACAATTTGTCCAAAAGCATGTGCTCACTTATCTTTGTATCACGTTTTGGTAAATCTTGCGATATCTCAAACTTTCTCTCTTTTTTTTTTTTTTGAGACAGAGCCTCAAGCTGTCACCCTGGATAGAGTGCCGTGGTGTCACTCATAGCAACCTCAAACTCTGGGGCTTAAGCCATTCTCTTGCCTCAGTCTCCCAGGTAGCTGGGACTACAGGTGCCCACCACAACACCTGGCTATTTTTTTTTTTTTTTTGTCGTTGTTGCAGTTGTCCTTGTTTTAGCTGGCCCAGACTGGTTCAAACCCGCCAGCCTCAGTATATGTGGCCAGCACCCTGCCCACTGAGCTATGGGTACTGCCCAAACTTTTACATTATTACTATTATGTATGTTATGGTTATCTGTGATTGGTAATCTTTGATGTTACACTTGTAAATTATTTTGGAATTCCACATAGTCTAGTGGTTAGGAAAAAAATTATTTTGGGACACCATGAACGGCACCCATATGTGACGGTAAACTTAATAAATGTTGTGTGTGTTCTGAAGGGCTCCACTGACCAGCCATTCCCCCATCTGTCGTCTTAGACGTCTCTGTTACCTGAGACACCATATTAATATTAGGCATATAAAGGTCTGTAAGTGTTCTAGTGAAATTAAGAGTCTCGTATCTTTCATTATAAAACAAAGAAGAAATGATTAAGCCTAGTGAGGAAGGTATGCAGAAGGCAACAGAGGCTGAAAGCTAGTCTTGTACCAAATGAATAGTCATGTTGTGAATGTGAAGGACAAGTTCTTGAGGAACCTTAGAAGCGTTACTCCAGCTACGGGAATGATAAGGAAGCCAGCTTTGTAGCTGATAGGAAGAGAGTTTTAGCAGTCTGGATAGAAGATCAAGTTACATCATTTCCTTGAACAAAAGCCTAATCCAGAGCAAGGTCCCAGCTCTCTTCATTTCCCTTAAGGCTGAGCGAGATGAGGAAGCTGCAGAAGAAACATGTGAAACTGGCATAGGTTTGTTTGTGAGATTTAAGGAAAGAAGCTGTCTCCGTGACCTTAAACTGTAAGGTGAACCATGAAGGCAGCAACGCTAAATAACAGATACTCAGTGTAGATGAATCAGCCTTCTATTGGAAGAGATGTTTTTACTAGTTTTGCTAAGGAGTAGCAGTAGCAGAGTTGATTAAGTAAAATGAAGAAAACACACAGAAAGAGAACACATGTAGAAAGTGGCGGTTGCTTTGTAGATGTTGGTGCTGGGGCCGTGCTTTCTGGGATCGCTGCATTGTAGTTATGGAAAGCCCTGGGGGGATGAATTATGTGTACTGTTACATCAAGCAGTTAGATTGTCTTTCATGCGTGCTATCTTTTGTGTTTAGGTATTCTATGCCAGTCTTGCTGTGAAATTAAAGTCTGCATGTAAAAAAAGTCTTACTATATGAAACTTTAATTCAGTTTGATTTATGCGTAGCAGTGTGATACTTCTCCGAGTATTATCTACAATTCCTAAGAGAAAGCTTTCATCCTCATGGGATGTTAGCCTTAGCCTTACCATCTGGGACTGTTCAGTTAAAGTGCTGCTAGAATTTAATATTAACCGTCACTTTATATTTTCTTTACTAATATTCTTGAAACCAGTTTCTCCTTCATACATATTTTTTTTTGCAACAGTAATTAAAGGTTTTCTTCCACATAAAACAGCTTTACCTGTAAGTTATATACAATTCCAGAGGTTTCTCAGTATCTTGAAGCCCATCTGTGCACCTAGTAAATTCTTGGATCATTCACTTAATCTTCTCTAAATAAGCTGTGGAGCTCTTCTGGGATTGTCTTTCACCTTGTTCTATCAGTTATTCTCTCTCCTTTTATCTCTTACCTTTATATATTATTGTGCACTTACAAAGCAATTCAACACCTTTTGTTTATTTACTCGATAATTCTGTGAATTACAACATTTAGCAAGTTTAAATCTTTAAAAACCTTATAAAAAATTTCACCATATATGAAAGGAGAGAGAAAAGAACACCGATCTCTGTATCTCACCTCCCAACTTCGTCATGTATCTATTCAAAGCAGTCCTACAGTATTTCATCTGTTTTCCTCTTCACTGCAGTCCTTACACTGATTATTTTGAAACAATTACTATAATTTCATATAAAATATTTCACTATGTATTCTTAAAAGATA